ACGTCTTGTTGCCGATGCCTGATCTTTCCAAAAAATTTATATGTTCATTGTTTTAATACGAGGAATTCATATATTAAATTTCAATGAAATCGGTTGATTATTTCTCTTTATATATACAAAAATGTATATTTGGCCCGTAGTAAACGTCTAGTTGCCGATGCCTGATTTCTTCCGAAACATAGGAATTTTCGCGGACGGTCGAGCTGAGCTTATATATAAAATTTCAAGTAAATCGGTTGGATATTTTCTTTAAAATGTTCAAAAATGTAAAACAGGCCCGCTAAAAAGTACAGTTCCCAAGGCCTGATATATACCAAAAGTTGATCGATCCGTGCCATGGTGGAAATAAACTTACATATAAAATTTCATCAAAATCGGTTCAGCCGAACTTGAGATACACATGTGCACACACAGACCGACAGACCGACAGACCGACAGACGGACAGACCGACAGACCGACAGACCGACAGACCGACGGACCGACAGACCGACGGACCGACAGACCGACAGGTTGTTAAAAATAGTTTATTTACACTTCCCTACTATGAAGAAGTGCATTCCCACCGAAAACTCGATATGCAAAATTTGTTGCCATCACATAACCTACCTATTGTTTACACAATACGGTCGGTAAAAATAAATGGGGAATGAAAAATTTAGCTTCGTAACCTAAGAATGATTCAGAATAACATAATGTTTGAAGAAACTTAAAATATTTACGTAGTTTTAGTCTTTTTTTCTTTTTTAACCTTTTAGGTCACATTTAGGATGCACCCAAGCAATATATTAATTTTCATAACCACTACTAGCTTCCTAAAAACCTTCCAAGGTCAATTTATTGACATAACAGCATCTTAACAGAAATGACAATTGCTATAATAACTTAGAATTAGAAAATGTCAAACTTATCACATGCCACTTAAAAGTCCTTTATATTATGAAATATTAAGAAACAACCGAAATTTTATAGAAAAGTTTAAAACCATTTTTAAACAAAATAATAGTAATAGAACCCATACTGTACCCTACAATTTTAACAGATTAACATTAAAAATCAATAACCTCTTCCCACACTCACACAGTAGACACAAATGTCGACACATAAATGGCATTGGAAAAGTTTTGAAATTTTTAGTAGTTGTAATGGGCAGTGACAACGAAACTAAGGTACATGATAAACTTAATGAACTTACCGAAAATAATAGATTAATAGCAAAAAACGAGAAAGAATAGAGTTGACCTTGTCAACTCTGTGATACCCGTACGAATTAGTTATCCTATGTGCGAACAAATAGGCCATCACTGACTATGGACAGATTATGACTTCAAGTTGACGTATTACCATATTAATTTATGCAAAATTTCAGTACTGTGTTTTTTAAAATACTGTGTGTGCCAAACTACTATTGAAGTTGTATACTCTGGCAGCTACCAGAAAGAGCCAAAAAAATTTTAACGAATTTTATCAAGCCCACCGGCCCTACTAATATATTCGCTTGTGTGCAATATCAATATTACAGCTTTTATAGTTTCTGGGATATAGTCAAATAACTTTTGAAGTTGTATGGCAGGTACCAGAAGGAACCAAGTAATTTCAACGACTTTTATCAGACACCTTAGCTCTATTAATATATTCGTTTGTGTAAAATTTCAATACCATAGCTTTTATAGTTTCTGAGATATAGTCAAATAACTTTTGAAGTTCTATGGCAGCTAAACGAACCGGTACCCCGACCATGCCCAATTTAAGTAGGGTTCTGGCACTTATTACAATAAATCATTTGTGAAAATTTGGTGAACTTAGCTCAATTAGGTTTTGAGTTATCGCTGAGACGGACGGACGGACAGACAAAGCTAAATCAACTCAGAATTTGACACTGATCAAAAACTTACACTTGAGTCTATATCTAAGACCGTTCAAACCTTCGAGCATACGTTCGTAAAGGGTATAAAAATGGCCATATAATAACCAAAAGTATAAAAAAGACCAAAATTCACCTTAAATGGAATGCTTTTGTAATAAATATTGAAGATATAATCTTAAATAAATTCGAATAGTGCCAAATAACAATTAATAACATTGTTTTATTACCTATAAAAACAATGAAATTGAAACAAAAGACAAAATCATTTTACCGAACACAAGTGTTATAACTAAATGAAAACTTAATAATTTTATGCTATCAATTACATTTTGATAATTTTGAAAATAACGTTATAGAAAAGCAATATATAAAAAAATCCAATATAGATACAAACAAAATCGAAAAATTGATTAGTTACCCAATACAAACTTTAATGATTGCAATAATTATTACTTAAACTGTTATTGAATAGTTTTAAATGTAGTAGATGTTATACTTTTAAATTAAAGTTAAATTTCAAACGAATTCCAGAAGAAAATATTATATGGGTTAACTTTTAGATCTCATTGTAGCGCATCGAAAAAAACAACAAAAAATAATAGCAAAAATTTTCGAGAATATTCGAGTTAAAAAAAATTAAAAAAAAAAAAACAAAAATTCTGCCTTTGACGAGCTGCATCTCTTAAATTATGGCTCATATAAAATGATTTGTAAGGTTAAAAATAAAGAACAATCAATCGCCTGTAAAACAAGCTTTATGTTTTATGGTTCTGAAGTTATAAGTAATTATTCAAATACAGGAAAACACCCCCCTATATAAATCCCCTTCCCCTACTTTTTTGCTGGAAATTGATCAAAGAATCATCTCTGAAATTATTTGCCACCTTATGCGAAGCACCCTGTATAAAAAGAATTTTTTTTTATTTATAATGGAATACAGATTTCGAAATTGTTAATTTCGTTGAGAATAATAGTTACGATAATGAGAATAATATTGTCAATTTCTTTAGTTTTAATGCCTTTCTTAAATTATTTATCTATAATCTGCTATTTTGGAAGCCACTTTATCTTATTTGATGTCAAAGTATTAACGGTATTATTTGATGTCAAAGTAGCAGGGTGTACCTAGCATTAAAATTGTCTCTTAATTACATTCTACCTTCATATGATTATCAGCACATTTAACATATTTAGCTGCTCTTTTGCAATATCTTGGTGTAAGTGCGAACCTCTGGAATCTCTGGCATTGTGGAATATGGATTCATTCCTTTTAAGGGACTCAACTTTTACTCTTTTGTGCTGAAGATATTTTATTTTATATATTATTGTGTCTTCAGTTTAATCGAAAAACCACATGAAAAGGGGCCACTTTTAAAGAGTATTCACTTTTCTTTTTAGTTTTTATTTATGACATTTATGGACATAAATCCTCTTTGAATAAGTTCACACTTAATATCCTGTGATTCACACGGTGAATGTAGGTTTCTGACCATTAATTTTATTTTCCTCTTCAATTTATTTTTATAAGTAGTATGTCATTCCAATTTGGCTTTATTAACAGCTTTAGTTAATTGTTTATATTCATTTGGATTTTCAACATTTATTTTTAGTTCACCATTTTTCATCACATTTACCTTCACGTCAATACTTTCCTATTTGAGGAGACGAAGGTTTACGTTCTTTTAGTTCAGCATTTTCCTTGGTGGGAATTTCTCTACTTTAGTGCTATTTCTATCACTAGAGAATTCTTGATTTTTCTCTTTTCTTGACTGGCGACTTCTCCAAACGTCTTGAACCATGACTCTGTGTTAATTTTGTCAACCCCTTGCCGATAATCTTGGTCTCTGCGGACAATTTGGTAGATATCCATACCGAAATAATATTCTTAATACATTTCATATTAATTATAAGGTATATGGCTATTAACCCAGCCAGGTTTTTTTCAGGTCAAAAGAAAACAAAAATATTAAAAAGTCGATATCAGATACCTTGCTGAGTACGAGAAAAAGGACAGTTCTGATAGTTCGCTTGCAAAGTGGCAAATGTAGCCGTCAAACTGGCAGACAAATGTCGCCGAGACAATTCCAGAAAATGATATTTGATAGCTGATAGGAAAACATATTTTCTTACAGCTTTAAGGGCTAAACAGGGACGTTTCCTTGACATTTCCTTGAATATCCTGAAGTATAACAGCCAGATGGTTTTAATACAATAGGAGATAATGAAACGTCCCTTCCCACAATGGATCGAATCTTGAAGCCGCAGTTTCTGAGAAACTCGTTCTAGATAAAGCGGTTTTTACTGCCAATACAGAAATGTTTCGCACTGGCTTATGACCCACGAATCTGCTGAGAAAATAGAAATCAATGGCCAAAATGTGAGATTGTGTATTGACCCATGGACAGAAAAGTCATTGGAAAGGTAGCAATCGGGACAGGGATTCTCATTACAATTTCAGTTGGTCTTTTTGGCGAGAATTTGAGCATACAAAATACAATAAAACTACTACATACTACAAAAAGCGTAGAAATAATGAATCGAGTCGCAAAATACGTGTAGCATCAGCAGCGTAAAACACAAGGACTTGTCCAAAGGTCCTTGCGAAGACTGTCTTAGACTTAGCTCCGCTTCATACCCATGTCAAAAACGAAGCTATGAAAGCGGCTTCACGGTCTAACGTTGCCAAACGCAAAATCAGGCTGACGCTAAAGATTATATTCGGATTTGGTAGACTTCTAAGGGTTAGAGGGCGTCACATTTTCTTTGCACTGTGACCAAACACAAAACATGTTGTGCAGTTCCACATGGTTAATTGACCAGAGGGATACAATGTTGGCATCACCAAAACACAGTGTGACTCACTGTGTCATCACCAAAACTCCAAATGAGAAGGCTAAAGAGCTTGTTTGGAAAGGAGCGGGGGCTCCATTTGTCAGCCCGACCTTTACTTTGGAGCGCTTGAGGTGCTTCGAGAGGAGGTTGAGCTGAATGAATCTTATACAATTTCATTACTTTGGTAAAATTGTTAATTTTACAAATTCAACAGAGAATTTGTTCGATTGTACGATGTTAATTTTCTTTTCCTTTTATAATAATAAAAAGTGTTATAAAATATTTTAAATAATGATAACACACCTTTTGATATTCCAAAATATTTTTACTGTGTATATGATGGTGTTCGCCATTGGTGATATATTGAGTGGTATACGAACCGGTATTACAAGGTATTAGAACCATTGTTTGATAATAATTCTTGTAAGGTGGAGGTGATTCTGGTCGCTTCGACGTTGGAGTTTTTTGAAATTTGGATGACTTTTTGGTAATGTTTGTTATATTACAACTATGGTTCGTATTCGGACGCTGCCCAGATACAATTTGTATTGATTCAACAGGATACGGGGAAGCAGGAAAATTATCGACTGATACTTTGTCCAAATCGGCATAGTTCCACAAGTTTGCACTTCGTTGTTGCGCGATTAATGAATTTGAATGCTGTGTATTAGTTTTATCTATCATATCTGCATCCATCTTTGTTCCACTTTTTTCCTAAAGAAAAATTAATCATATAAAATGTTGTCAACTATAACTTCATTTATTTTTTTTATTGATTCTTTATTTAATTTTATTTATTTATTTTCTGTTTGTACAGGGGAGTAAATTGGATACTCAGGACTCGAGAATAACCGAGTTAGAGAGTCTTTGTAAGGTACTATAAAACAAGATCTACAAATTACTGGCAGAGAATGTAGATTTAAAAAATCAAATTAAATCTGCATCAACAGAAAAGAAAAGCAAAGATGCGGAAGTTATTGTATATGAAACCGACGAGAAATAACTGGCTAGAGAAACTGACTGGATCCTGAAACAGAATAATGCAAAGAAGCGAAAAATGGAAAAGTCTCCTGAAATAAATTCAGAGAGGACAGTTAAAAAAATAATGAAACCAGCCCTAAAATGAAGATTGAAAATCCAAAAAAGCACAAGCCTCCTCCGGTAATATTGAGCAATATTAAAAACTACTCCCACATAGTTAAGATATTAAAAGAAGAAAGAATAAACGTTAGGGTCAATATGATTAATAATGATCAATTAAAAATAAATGTGGAAAATGAAAATGAATACAGATTACTAACAAAAGCTATAAATAAGGCTAGAATGGAATGGCACACGTATGAGAATAAACTAACAAGATCAGTTAAAGTGATGGCTAGAAATTTCCATCCATCGTGTGAGCCATAGGATATAAAAACAGAGCTCATTATGTCGAGATGTTGTAAATATAATCAAAAGGAAAAAAGAAAATGGAAAATATCTTTCAGTAAAACTTCCGCTCTTTATGTTATCTTTTGACCATTTGGAAGAAATAACCAAGATCTATAAAATAGAATACTTACAGCTCGTGAGAGTAAAAATTGAAGCTCTTAGAAGCAGCAAATCCATTCCGCAATGCAAGAGATGCCAGAGATCTGGACACACAAAAAAGTGTTGCCATAGAGAGACTAGATGTGTGAAATGTGCTGGTAATCATATGACAGCAGAGTGCAACAAGACGGATAATTTTCAGCCCAAATGTGCAAACTTCAATGAGCCACACCCCGCTAGCTATCGGGGTTGTTTAGTTGCAAAAGAATTGCAAAAAAGTAGATTGAGAAAAAATAAAACCAAACAAAATCAAGTTAAATTTAATGAGCAAAGAACTCCAAAAATAACCAGAATAACGACACCTAGCAAGGTGTTAAAGGGAGTATTCACAAGCTCTTCAAAGCAAAACTCCACAAAACAGGAAAAAGAAGGAACCTGAGAACAAAACCCCACAAATAAAAAAAAACTGACGCAGACATTATGCAAATGATGCATAGTATGTTGATTAAAATTGACGAGATCTCTAAAAGATTATTAAAAATAGAAAATGGATACGCTGAGGTATATGCGGGGACACCAAAGATATTAAGAAAAGATGTACGTAAATGAAGTTCCTAAAGTAACTTGGAATGCTTATGGTGTTCTTATTAAGAAACAAAAATTGGAGATTTTTGATTGGAGAAATATAGACATTTGTCTGAGGCTCATTTGACATATTATACGGGCCTTAAAATAAAAGGCTTTGACTGCTATAAGGCGCTGGATCCCAGTAATCAGCCAAGAGGAGGTAGTACAATACTAATAAAAGAAAGTATAGAACATAATGAAGAATTCAAGACAGAAACAGCTAAAATTCAGCTTATTTCGACAAAAATTAAATCGACTAAATAGAACTTTAGTGTTGGTGCTGTATACTGTCCACCAAACAGCAGCATTAAGAAAAATACTTTTAAAGATCTCCTGTACAAACATGGACACAGATATCTAATAGGAGGTAACTATAACGCCAAACATACCAATTGGGGTTCTAGAAGCATCTCAACTAGAGGAAGAGAGGTAAGAAGCTATTCAAGAGCTCCACTGGCACTCCTACTTATTGGTCTACTGACACCAACAATATTATGCCTGATGTTATTGACTTTTTTATAGCCAAAAACTTTCTAAACATTGAAGATAATTATGATTTTAATTCAGATCACTTTGCTATCATATTAAAACTAAGTGAAAAAATAACCAGAACATTAAATAAACCCACTTTGACAAATAGCACTTCAGATGGGCGAGCTTTAAACACGAAATAATAAACAATATATAGGTAAATATTAATATACAATCAAGAGAACAATTACATCTTCTAAAATTTATTAAAATCATACAAAAAGCTGCATGGAACAATACAAAAATGTCAAAAGTACAAACCGACAGCAAATAGCTATCCTGGAGAAATAACTGATCGAGGAGGTGAAAAGGGAAGAGCCAGACGTAGATGGCAACGTTCGCGTCACCATGATGATAAAACTGTTTTAAACAAATTTTCCCAGGTGCTTAAAAGAAACCAAGAATTTAAATCGGCAGCATACGAAAATTATATAAAAAACTCTTCAGCTAAGAATGAAAAGAATTATTCCTTATGGAAGGCGGCAAAGAGCAAAAAGAGACCGATTAAGCACGCTCCGCCACTGATGAAAGCAAATGGCAGTTTGGCGAGGAGCAATATAGAGAAGGCCGAAATGTTTGCTGATCACTTGGAAAGCATATTCACACCAAACGGAATAACATCAGATGTAGCTTTGGTAGAATCTATCGCAAATGAAGCAGGCAGCACAGCTCCACTTACTCAATTGGAAATTGCGGAAGAAATAAAATCCCTGAGTTTGAAAAAATCGCCGTATTTTGATCTTATTACTGCGGAAATATTGAGAGCTCCCAGACGAGGCATTGGAACTTTTAACGAAAATCATGAATGCAGCTATGGGTTTTGTGTATGCGGAAAGTCGCGGAGGTAATTGTGGTGCCCAAATCCGGGAAATCCTTGAAGGAAGCAAAATCTTACAGGCCCATTTCACTATCACCAATTATGTCTGAGCTTTTTGAAAAGTTGCTATTAAAGAGATTGAAGCCAATAATATAAAATAGGGGCCTACAATAGACAATAGACCAGGTCCATCGAATAAGGAATATCATAGAAAAAAGTTTGGAAAATAAAGAAATCTGCTCTTCTATATTTCTAGAGGTAGCGCAGCGACAAGGTATGGCGCAAAGGCCTTATATTTAAGTTAGGACATATGTCATCGCCATTTGTAGTAATTTTGGAATCTTACTTAGCTGATAGATTATTTAAAATTAAACAAGACGGTGGAAAAACAAAACACAACACCCAAAAAGCTTCCTCTAAATAAATTGTTTTGTACACTGTGTTATCAAAATTCTTCTCCTACGATATTACTTTGTTGTGGAGTAGGAGCTGATTGAATTCAATGAGGATCACAACTTATTCCCAAATGAGGCTTGAAGCCAAAAGACAAACCGTTTCCATGCACATTTTGAATCTTTTCATTTCTAAATTCGCCCGGGGCTGAATTAGTATGTTATACGACCCATTCCGATAATCAGCAAAACTTAGGGGCCTCACTAATAAACCTGTGGCAAACGTTGCACCGGGATTCCCAGGACCATTTCAAATTCTTACCCATGAAATCAATAATAGAAATATTTGAGTTAAAAAAAACATCAGTAAGGAAAGAGAAGACATAATTCTGATTTGCGGGGAAAGGTCTGCTTACTTTAGCGGCAAACAACAAGCTGTTTTATAGCGACTATAAATAAACTTAATTAAAAGTAGCTTAAATGATTTTCGGAAACAAGCGTTATCGCAACTGTCATTTTTATAATTTATTTTTTGAGCGAACTTGATACAGGTTTATAGACATAATCTGGCAAGAGGTTTTAGCTGTAACCTTACTGAAAGCTGAGCATGCAAAGAAGTCTTCCTGGGAACAGATTTGTGGAAAAATTGATGAAATTGTGGCAGTTCCTGGATTTGGAACTAATTTAAAACTATACACACATGACTCAGCCACTTCAAGTTGCCAACTGGCTGAGCACAACTCATGGAGTACACCATCTTAAGATTGGCTTGTAGCTATAAAAGGTAAATTTGCAACTATCAGCAACTTGAGGAAAGTATATTCGGAACGGTTGCATTGGCAGATCTTGTTCGAAAGAAGTGATTTTCAGAACAGTAATTGTTGAGGCATACGCAATTTAAAGTCTTTTAAGTCGGTGGGCCGCATAATATTATGGCTTTTGCCTTTTCAACAGCTTTGAAGGTGTTACGGATATTTATCAAAAAGAGCTTTCTCAATTTGATTGCCTTTAACCCTTTAAAAATACCTCTGCATACTCGAGCTCAGTTTTCGTAAAAACTTTTTTGGCAGTTTATATATTTTAAGAAACTTACTAAATTTTATTTAAAACCACGTGGTAAAATTATTGAGTTTTTATTTACCTTTTCTGAGTCTTTATTGTTTTTCGTCGTGTCTGTCTTATATTTTGTTTTAATGCCTTTGACAGAAGGCCTTTTATTAAATCCGTAATCGCTTTGCTCATCGTCATCTGAATTATTACTTGAAGATAATTTTTGATTCTTGTTTTGTGTTTTCTTTTTTTGTGTGACTTCATATTTGGCAATTTGACTTAAGAGCTGTTGCTCGAGGCCAGGAGTTCCCACTATAACATCTGGGGCGACTTTAGAATTTCCATCGTTATTGAAATTTGATGTTTTATTGAAGTTTTGTTTATTCGTTTGATCATCGGGTTTATTTTCCTTATATTCTTCAATAGTGCAGTATGGTAGATCATCTTTTTGTCCTGCCATGCAAGATGTCAATGGAACGAATGTTGATAAAAATCTTTTATGCTCATTGTTACGGTATGTAGCCTGCTGATATTGAACTTCATTGATGGGTATATGCATTTCAAGAGCAATATCCGGTGCGGCAGAAAGAAGAGTCTCCTGTAACAAAAAAAATTTTAAATTAAAAAAACGATACAAGATGTCCCAAATTTTAACAGCTTTTAGACACTAATAAATAGCTAATTTCGTTAGAAGAAAATTTTTGCCATTTCCACATCCTCTCAAGTTATCGGGTCTTGAAATTTGTAAAATTTGATTTTTCGACGCCTTATATTTTCGAAACCGCAAGCTTTTTCAAATCTCTATAAACGCAGAAATCTAAATACGATAAATTCCATGACATTAAAAAATATAATTATTTTTCTTAACTAACCTCTTTAAATAAATTTTTGCTTTTTTTCAAGGATGGCATAAACCGTTCATCATATATATATGCAATCCTAGAAAAAGTTTCGCATAAGTATGAATGAAAATATTTTTAATAGTATCGTAGATATACTATGCTGTGTTTAAAAGCAGTATTTTCACGAATTGTTGAAGGGAAAAGTGCTACAATACAAACTATTGGTTTGACCCAACTTTATTTAATTTATAATTCTTAAACAATCATATTTTATTCACAACTATATACAACTGACCGTTTGTGCTTCCGTTTGCCTAGTCTACGTTTTTAAGATTTGCAAAACTTCCTAAGAATCGCAAAAAGATTCTCAAGACTAAGCAGCTCAGAATTCTTACGATCTCAAAGTAACCCAAAATAGTGTGATATTCGCTACAAAATGAACATGCTATGGAAAATTATTTACATATAATTGCATGAAATAATATTAGGCGCATTGATAACAAGTGATACACTTTCAGTTTAATTAAAAAGGTAGCTATTTACCTTATGATTTATATAAATTGGTTTTTCTTTCCTTTTACATTTTAAAAGTATTTCTGATTCATGGCAAAATATACATAAAACATACATACTCGTACATATATATTATTTTTTAAACAATATTTAATTTTTTTCTAATACAAAAGTTGCAGCCTTTGATTTCAAAGAAATAAACTTTTTATACAATAAGGTAGGTAATGTGATGGCACCAAATTTTGGATGTCGAGTTTTTGGTGGGAACACACTTCTCCATAGTAGAGAAATGTAAATAAACTATTTTTAGCAAACTGTCGGTCTGTCAGTCTGTGTGTGCACGCGTAAATCTCAAGTTCGGCTGAACTAATTTTGATGAAACTTTATATGTAAGTTTATTTCGACTGTTGCACGGATTGATCAACTTTTGGGATATATCATGCCTGGGGAACTGGATTCAGTGCGCCTGTTTTACATTTTTGATCATTTTTTAGAAAATATTCAACAGATTTACTTGAAATTTCATATATAACCACATGCGAAACCTGCTAACTTTTGAAAGCAATCAGGTGTCAGCAACTGGACGTGTACTACGGGTCAAATATAAATGTTTACGTATGTAAAGAGAAATAATCAACCGATTTCATTGAAATTTAATATTTAAATTCGAGGTGTTAAAACAATGAATTTATAAATCTTTTGGGTGAATCAGGGCTTAGAAACTAATCTGAGGACCTATTACATTTTTTACCATATCTAGGGAACGAACTGATGGAGGGTTTTAAAATTCAATATTTGAGTTCTGGTTATTATCAAAAGTTACTGACGAGCTTTTGGTATAATTCAGACGGCACAAAATGAAACTCTACTAAGAACCAAATTCACGTTTTTCTAGGTATGTATGTTAACTGAAAGCTTATTAGTGTCCTTAAAATTGTAAAGAAGTGTTAAAAACGCATTTTCATAATCTTCTAGAATATTCTTACTAATCTAGACAATATACAATGCGGTCGGTTATGTTGCTGAACACATCAGATTTTTATATTATGTGCCTGTCTGTTATTCAAAATATCCGTTTATATTTAAAAAATATGATATCCGTTTGAGGGTTGTTGTGGGTTAAGCGAATTTCCATAAATTTTAAATTTATTTATTTACTTTCCTAACCAAACATATTCAAAAATATGTGTAAAATTATAAAAATAAAAATTGTAAATAAAAAAAAAGGTATCATTCTACTAAACTGAAACTTTTTTCCGAGGTATTTCGAAGTAAAACAATTACAACGCAAAATGACAAAAAAAAGAGTTAAAAATGCCATCTTTAATAATTTTTGAAGCTCTATGCATCCCTGTCACTCTCGCGGTCCTAGGTCTTTTGGTTCCTGAGATATTTTTGCATTTTTTTGTCGTAAATGACAGATGAGTACATTGAACTTGCGTTATTCTGTTGTATATGCCAAATTTGTAGATGTACAACAAAAATTTTATATGAAAATAGCATTTTCAATTTAAGCAATTATTTTGTCGTACGTTAATAAACAACATATTAAATTTCGTAACGTTTATTGTGTCGCACGTGTATAGAAATAGTATTGTATACCACATAATAGTAACAGTCCGACAGAGTATACATTTTGTTGTACATGTTTGAAATTGTTGTTATGCTATGGTGTCATCACGTGACAATGATTCAAGTTCAATTTAACTTCAATTTCACATTCTTTTATCCAGAATCGGTGGAGAAATTTTTGATGAAGAAAGATCTAAATGTTAGTATTATTGAATAAATACGAAATATATTAAAGCCATTGACATATTTTGTTAAATAAAAAAAAGCATTTTTTAAATATGAGTTTGACTTGGACGATAGACATTCAGATTTTAGCGTCGATGAAGAACTCGGAAATTGTGAAAAATTTTACGAAAGTTTTTTAGTTACAGGTAATTATATTACTTTTTTCATTTGAAAAGTATTTAATATTTTTTTTGTGCCTCAGATAACACCTCCAATAATAGTAACTCCTCACCATGCGATTAACGAAGTTAAAAAGTGAATGCTTTTACAAAATAAAGTTGGGTCAAACCAATGGTTTGTATTGTAGCACTTTTCCCTTCAACAAGTGAAAATTCTGCTTTTAAATACAGTCTACGAGTATGTATACCTATCACACTATTAAAATTTTTTTCATTCATATACAAAACTATTTGTAGGATTGCATATATTTAGGATGAACGATTTATGCAGTCTTTGAAATAAAGCAAAAATTAATATAAGCAGGGGTTAACATAATGCTCGATTTTAAGGGTTACTTGTGTGAGTTAAGAAAAATAATTATATTTTTTAATATCATGGAATTTACCGTTAACATTTTGCGTTTATAGAAATTTGAAAAAGCTTGCGGTTTCAGAAATATAAGGTGTCGAAAATGCAAATTTTACAAATTTTAAGAGGCCATAACTTGAGAGGGGGTGGAGATAGAAAAAAATTTTCTTCTAACGAAATGAACTATATGTTAATGTCTAAAAGCCCCTAATTTCAAGCTTCTACATGCTGGGGTCTAGAAGAAAAACGACATCAAAAATTTGGTAAAAAAGGACTGTAGATAACGGTAAATTTGAATGGCCATTTTGTTTTTCTAAAGTTTAGCTATAGTATACCGCGGTAGGGGAAGCAAGCCACAGCCTTTCTGCGTTTGCAAAATTTCAAAAATGCTTATGGTTTCATTGCAACAAATAGTTAAAATAGGCCATTTTTGTGGCTTTGGGGGGGTATAACTTCTAGAGGGGGGGAGATAGGTAAAAATTTTGTTCTAAAAAAATAAGTTTCTAGTGAAGATCTATGTACGTATTAAATTTCAGCTTTCTATCTTTAAAAATGTAGAAGTTTTGTAAACAGACACACGGACAGACGGACGGACGGACGGACGGACGGACGGACGGACGGACGGACGGACGGACGGACGGACGGACGGACGGACGGACGGACGGACGGACGGACGGACGGACGGACGGACGGACGGACGGACGGTCGGACGGACGGACGGACGGACAGAGTGAAACTAATATGCACTTTTTTTCAAAAAATTTTTGGAAAAGTGCTAATAAGAAAAATTATTAACTTGTGGAAACAAAACTTGTGGGGAATTTCACGACATCGCATGGTGAGAAATTACTATTATGGGAGATCTTAACTGAAACACAATAAAAATTCAAATCTTTTTAAATGAAAAAATAATATATTTAAAATAACCAGTTTTAAAACTAAAATATATTTAAAACAAGCAAGGTATTATTGGAATACGAAAATTAGTTGTTGAAACTTGCTTGTTTGGCAAAGCTCTGTCAAGTTAAAGAAAAAAGATATAAGTAGTCTATTAATTTTCTACAATGGGCAGATGTACGGTATATTTTCAATAATTTTTTGATTCTAGAAAAACCTGGCGAGTCATAAAAGAAGTAGTTACGAACAACAATAGTAGATCAGCTAATAAATTTATTAATGAAAGTATGACAGATTCTGATAAAATTGATAAATTGAATAACTTTAATCAATATTATTGCACAACAGGATTTTTGTGTTACGGAAAATTTTTTATTCATTCATTCTTTTATTGAAATTTCGTTCACAAACGTAAGAAAGTAACATTTTTCATACAATTAAAATTTTTTACTTACATCTGCATTCATAAGAACAGGCTGTTCTAAAATAATATCCTCATGATTCCTTTCGCAATTCGATTTATCTGCAGACGAACATGGAATATATGTATCCGAAATATAAGCTTTATTATAAACTGCTGAAAAAGATGCTCCACATATATTTTCATCACAAGTATTTTCAAGCTCTACGAACTCACAGCCATAGCTATTTTTAATTTGTTGTATTTCTTCATTGGAATCTTCAATATCACATGTCAGTAATTTTAGCTGTTCCTCAAGAGAAGTTTCCGATTTTCCATTTTTTTTCCTGCAAAAAAAAATTGCTACAAAACTCTGTGTACTAGTTATGTAAACTTTTCCTAAAAATTTACGCAAACGTAACTTTAATTTTTCATACACTATTACAAAAATTGCTAATCGATTTACTGAAAGAATGAAATAGCGAGATTTTTGTATTAGTGGTAAAAAAGTAAATTATTTGTAGTGTCCTACATTTACAAAAATTGAAATTAACAGCAAATAGCCAATCATCTTTAAAAATACAAAGGTCATATAAGTTTATCTTCATTCTAAATGAAAAAGTATGGATTAAGTAAACATTTTGTAAAGTGTACTTGAAAAATTAAAAATAATAATTTGTAAAACTTATAAAGGACCAAAAATTTCTCCTAAACCGTAAATATTGAAATAAAACTGAATGACACAACTGTTTTGCTTCACTATGGGAATGGAACTATGGCGGATATTGAATACTTTGAAAAGTTATTCTATTGCCAAACAACAAACTAAATAAAAAAGGCGAAGATACTTCAAGTTTGACGGAAAACTAGGACCTGTGTCTCAATTTTAAAACAAATTTTTGAGAAAAACAAAACTAAGTTCAGAGCGATATCTATACATAGTAAGATGCTCGAAAGAGCATTTTAAGCTTCAAGTCGAAACATTGGGCCATTTTGAAATATTGTCAAGCATTTCCCAAAATCTTTTTTCAAAGAAGTTCAGCAATGGTAACAGTTTGGAAAGTCCGTATGAGTTTAGAAATTGTTTCGTTTAATTTTAGGTTTTACTTTTGTTCTTCGATTTCTCCGAAACTAAGGATCCAATTTCAAAAACTCCTCAGGCCTTTGATAGAATATTTTTAAAACATTCATAAGAACACAACGGACCTTAGTGGCATGTGTGTACACTGCGTGATCGTGATTAAAAGAGATATATCCTTGAAAATTCTAAAAAAAAGATCAATTTGGCCTTACACAAGCAAATTTTCTTCCAATTATGTGTGTTATACATTTGAAATCTAAACAAAAGATGAAAGTTGCTTATCAAAACATAATCAAAACTTTTCTAAGGCTCGAAAAATTATTTTGTACGAAGAGAGCTTTAATCACCACGGGTTTTTTACGATTACGGCTCTCTCATTTTCATGAAAATTTGATTATTAAATGTATGTCGACGTCCAAGAGTGATTTATATTATTTTAGTAGATTCAATATAAACTATCTGACTTTTTTGGAATTAAACAGTTTTATCAATTGTTTAGCTTTATGCAATCCGAATCATGTTAATTTTATAAATATTGTTCACATGTTTCTTTTTTGAGGTTCATAATGTGCATAACTCTATTAAAAATATATTTCAACCGCATCAACTTAATTTATAATTTAAAAACATACAAATGATACAAACACTTTAAGTAGTTCAGTTTACCTTATCGATGTAATTTACTTCTTACAGAGAAAAGTAAAATATAAAGAAGTTTTCACATGTCAAAATTGAAACTTTATATTAATTTATAGAAAAGTTTTGGAAAATTCTATATTATTCTAACAGCTACCTTAATAAACAGCCAAAAAGTCGATGGTTTATTCCAAAATTCCGAATATTAAATTTCAAGAAATTTTATCAATCCGTTCCGCAGATATGGTAAAAAATGTGAAATCGGAACCCAATCTGGTTTCCGAGCCCTGTTCTTTCAAAAAAATTTATAGATTCATTGTTTTAACATCTTGAATTTAAATATTAAATTTCAATGAAGGTCTGATATATTCCAAAAGTTGATCAATCCGTGCCATAGCCATAATAAACTCACACATAAGATTTAATCAAAATCGGTTTAGATGGACGATTGCACACACAAACCGACAAATCCACTAAAAGTAGTTTTTTTACGTATATTTAAAAATATACGTAAAAGCAAAAGTGGTTTGTATTTTGTGTTTCTCTAAATTCAAAAAGTGTGGCCATAGTACGAGTACAAAATTGAAAGAAAATATTGATTGTGTGAATAAATTGGATATACTCGTAGTGAATAAATTTTTTTTTTAATATTTCATAATTAATATAATTTTTAATATTAAATTTAAAAAAATTATCATATTTATATCAACACTAAATATAAGGAAAAAATGTGTTCGTCAAAGTTTAATGAAATTTATGCAATTTTCCGGTCAATAATTTCTTCGCATGTATGTTACCTTTCTTTTTCTTTTTACTTTCATTTAATATGATTTGGTTTGTATAATCTGTAATATAATTAATTGTAATATAATTTACTTTATTACCTTTTTTATTTTAAATAATTTATATCATCTTTAGTACAATCCTTTACCTTCCTATTTAAGTTTATGCAATTATTTTTTTAAATAATACATATAAATTACAATAAATACATATTTCAAAGATAAATAATAATATTTTAAATATTTTAAATATATATGAATAGTTTTAATATTTTAAATATTTTTCATCAAAGCTTTTTTCAATTTCCCATAACTTTTTGTGTATTTTCTTCTATTTTATATGTGTTTTTTAGAGTTGGCAATATGAAAAGCAACATTTTTACTGGTCGAAGACACTCTCTTTATATGTTAGCTTTATTACCGACCGTATTGTGTAAACAATAGGTAGGTTATGTGATGGCAACAAATTTTGCATATCGAGTTTTCGGTGGGAACGTACTTCTCCATAGTAGGGAAGTGTAAATAAACTATTTTTAGCAACCTGTCGGTCTGTCGGTCTGTGTGTGCACGCGTGTATCTCAAGTTCGGCTGAACCGATTTTGATGAAATTTTATATGTAAGTTTGTTTCCACCATGGTACGGATCGATCAACTTTTGGTATATATCAGGCCTTGGGAACTGCACTTTTTAGCCTGCCTGTTTTACATTTTTGAACATTTTGAAGAAAATATTCAACCGATTTACTTGAAATTTTATATATAAGCTCAGCTCGACCGTCCGCAAAAATAAATTCCTATGTTTTGGAAGAAATCAGGCATCGGCAACTAGACGTTTACTACGGGCCAAATATACATTTTTGTGTATATAAAGAGATATAATCAACCGATTTCATTGAAATTTAATATATGAATTCCTCATATTAAAGCAATGAACATATAACCTTTTTGGAAAGATCAGGGCTCGAGAACTGATTTGCGGGCCGATTTTACATTTTTCACCATATCCACAGTACAAATTGATGGAATTTCTTGAAATTTGATATTTGAGTTCTGATTGTTACCGAAACTAACTGGCGAGCATTTCAGGGAATTCATTTAGCACAAAGCGAAACACTACTAAGAGCCAAATTTACATTTTTCTAAGTATGTTAACTATAAGCTTACTAATGTGTTAAAAATTGGAAAGAAGTATTTAACAGACATTTTTATAATATTCTGTAACACTTTCATTTAACTAGACAATACACAATGCGGTCGGTTATGTGCTGACCACATCAGATTTTTATTTTTTTTTTGCTACGTATAGCATATATGAATAGCTATCCAAGATTTTGGTATATCAAGGAAAGTAATTTAAATGATGTAATAGATTGTTTTTAAAATCAAAATTTTCACTTTTTAAGATGTGCTGTTTCGCAAAACATTGGTTTGACCCTATTATATTTTTTACATTTTGTCAATACTTTCTAATTTAATATAAACTCGATTTTCGTAGTTACTACAAAATATGGACGTAATACGATAATACTGTTATTAAACTCCAAATAGCTAAGTGTCATAAATATGTTACTTTTATATGATGGAATGCTTTATTATGTTTATTTTATTTTGTATTTAATAAACATTAATCGAAAATTGAGGTTTCATGCTGCGTAGATGTATACATATGTATATATGTACAAAAAATTTTGAGATGTATTAAAATAAAACGCAATATTATTGATGAGATCTGATTAATAATCAAAAGAAACTGGAACAGTAGGCACCATGTTTAAGTAATACATATATAAGTTCACTAATTGAGAAATGTATTTAAATTATCACTTTCAATAGCACATGATTTGAATAATATGAATAATGTTCATGCATTATTGTAGTTTATTATCATTTTATTAAGTATACATATATGTATATACAGTTTTAAATTTTTTAGTTACAGTAAAATTTATATGATAAATTAATGTATGTGCATAATTCCCACAAAATCATAACTAATCATTTCACACGATTGTTTGAATTTTCTTAAAATTTTTCTTTTGGAGAAATCAAAAAATAAATAAAAAATCATAAATTTTAATAAAGAAGTTCCAAAACCAATGTAAAAGGAGGTGGTATGATTTAAACTTTTCTATTAAATACATTGAAGAAACAACAGCATTTAGAAACGTTCCAAATATGCCAAACAAGACTTAAATGAACTTAAATTGAATGAATGCCATGCTAACAAAATTACAAATTCGAATATTGACGCAGTTAAACATGCCATTTCTTCTTTGGAAAAAGAAGTAAAATAAACTAGACAAAAAGACAATAAATTTTATCAGAATTCTAGCAGCAGTAAAATTACTGCAAGTAAGGTCTGCTAAAAATTAAAGACGGAAGATCAACTAATGACAAAAAGTAATCGAATCTAGTTGCAACGATAATAAAAAATGATGAAAATAATAATAGCAAAAAAAATTTTTGAAAAATTAAAAGAAAATGTTTATTATATCTCACATTCATCTAATTATGATCATTCCTTTAATTAGTACAAAAATAAATTCATAATAAATCTTTTTCATTAGAAAAAATCTGATGTGGTCAGCACATAACCGACCGCAACGTATGTTGTCTAGATTAGTAAAAGGATTCCAGAAGATTTTGGAAACACGTTTTAAAAACTTCTTTAAAGTTTTAAGGGCACTAATAACCTTTCAGTTAACATACCTAGAAAAATTTGAATTTTGCTCTTAGCGGAGTTTCATTCGAAAAGTTCGTCGGTAACTTCTTGTAATAACGAGAACTCAAATATTAAATTTCAAGAAGTGCCTTCAGTTCGTTCCGTATATGTGATAAAACATGTAAAA